GCAATGAGGGTGCATTCACACTACAACAGCAGAGCTGAGTAGCAGAGACAGAGACTGCATGGCCCACAAAACCTAAACTATTTACTCTCTGGCCCTTTACAGAAAAAATCTGCCAATCCCTGACTTAAAGGCTGGGCCAGGTCAAGGTCATATAGAACATCATTCCAGTGCAGCTTGGGTCCCAGGGTATTTACAAATAATTTTCATTAACAAGGCTATCTTGACAATCAAGTCCACTCAAAGAAACTGCCTGCAGTTTGGGTTTCAAAATTGTGCCAAGTAGGATTCATGTAAGATGCAGTTGTGAATTTAGTCAAGGCTCAAGTTTAGAGTAATTTGTCTGAAAGGATGGAAACATCAGGTTTTCTCACCACTACTTCAACTTCTTCTGAATTCCCAAAGTCCACTGACCCAGAAGGAACTGCTCACATCCCCTAACTACCTGTCAGGGGACCCCTGAAAGGGAAGAGCTTCCTGCAAGCCTCATGCTTATTTTACATAGAAGCCCTCAGAGTAGCTTCTAAGTACTGCCACCTGACTGAAGACGAAGAGGCTGGAGGGAGAGCCCCAGCAAGCAGTAGGTGTAGCTTCCTAAACTCAATCAATATTTCCAAGACACTTTCATATTTGGATTCTTCTGGCACCTGTCACCCTCCCTTGGTATCTTTTCTGAATGCAATGGCTAAGAAGCCTGAGGCCTTGTCTTCACATCATAGTCAGGCTGTCTCTGTAAAAGGCCTAAGTGGGAAGGTACCTGAGAACTGGCTTTGTGTCCCAATAAACAGAAGTGCCAGGGGACTCTGTGCCCCCCACCTGCAAAGTCTATTAGTTGGGCCTGAATCACTGAGCAAGAACCAGGCAGGGAGCAAACTTTCCACAATTCTCCTCTCCCAAAGCTCAAGATTTGGATATGATTACAAACCATTATGATTCCTTTTACTACAAACACAAAAAAGTCTGGGCCCCTGTTATTGGAGCTCCCTTTTCAGAAATGAGAGACATATGTTATAAATACGTAAAATAAAACAAACATCTATGTTAAGTCCTAGAATTAGCAGTAGAAAACATGGAGATAGAAGAAACCACCTGGAAGGGGTATTACTCAACCCATCCAACCAAAAAGCACAAGAATGCATCTGGCATCTGCACTTGCCTTTTAAGCAGTGAAACAAAGCAGTCATTTTACGTACCTAGAACCTCTTTAGAACTAGGTTGAACTGTAGGTAAAGGAGACATCTGGAGCAGGTAATCCTACCTGGAAGGCAGTGCTTCCCTATCTGCTTCCCACCACAGTTCTAGTATATGAATGTGTGTGCGCGTGCGCACTCATATACGCATGCACTAGCATATGACAGCACATAGGGATAAATAAGACTGCTAGTAGATGGCCCTCATGGAACTGAGGCCAGACTAGGTGGCCCTGAGGCCTGAGGCTCACTATCTCAGACATGGGCTAGGCAGCTCTGGTCTAAGTTGCCAACTGCAAATACACAGTGGTCACGTTGCTCTACAGATCTGAGGTTGCGACTTCTGAACTACTAGGTCCCTAACTAGTGCCGCACACTCAGCCCCCATTCATTCTGAAGGTCATCACAGTAAACTGGCTTCTTGGAAAGGTGAAAGTTGTGATTTACACACTTATTCTGAACCTTAGGGCATGATGCATAAATAAATGGTACCCTCTTGCACAGACTCATCT